AACTTCTTTCCTAGCAGCACATCAAGCAATTGATTCAATATAATCATTGCACTTCATGTCAATGAAAAACATCAGACCAAGAACGCGCAAAGTGTTTCTCTCATGGGCTATAATGATGGCAGTTATGAAAGGTTATTAAATGAAGACAGTTTTGTTTTGTAGGCGTTAAAAATTAAATTTTTAAATTGACAAGTCATTGCTTGCCCCAGTTAACCACTGATTGGATGCCCTTTTTGAGACAAGTTGCCAGTTTTATGTTGCCGGAGTTGTCGGACTTGCTACTAAGAGAGGATTAAATAGTTGTGTCATCAGCATAAATACCTAGCTCGGACATATGACACCGTGAAAGTCGTTGATGAAGGTAAGAAACAAAAGTAGGTCTAAGGAAAGAGCCATGGGGACTCCGCATTTATGTGAAATGAAATAAAAGCATGTCCGTTCAACACGGCCTTCATTAAACGATTTGTTCCAAACGATTTAATTACCGTACTGGGTATGATGATAAACTACATCCGCGTCCTGGGTAAGGCGATAAACAGCGTCTGACAGCAAGATCAAGAGGTTTTGAGGAGCGCATATCCACCGCTTAATTGCTGGTGTTCCCAGGCCCACCTTGATCTGGGGTGGTAGCACCTGTTAGGGTCCCAGCTATGAGCAAATAGTTAACCCCCAAACTGAGTTCTAAACACATCTTTTTTTTTATGTGATATGTCCTTTCAGGGCGTAGGCGATCATGGATCTCCACCTCTCTCCCTATCCCTTGCAGCTCTCAAAAGTTCGTTCCCTCCCCCAAGCCACGTTCTTTCATCCACTTGATTAGCTTGCCAGGTATGTTACGCGTTGTTTTCCTTTGTCTGTCTTTCCGTCTATTCTCCAGGCCATCCTTCCTCATTATGTGTCCCAGAAACTTCAGCTGCCTCTTCCTGATATTAAGTATAAGCCTCTTCCTTGTTTTCAGCCTCTCTAAGACCTCATCGTTGCTCACACGCTCAGTCCATGATATCCTTATCATTCTTACCAGAAATAATTTGTAAAAATTATTATCAGCAATACATTTTTCAAGAGAAATTATTACCAGCAGTACATTTATGAAGAGAAATTATTACCAGCAATACATTTTTGAAGAGAACTTATTATCAGCAATACATTTTTGAAGAAAGATTATTATCATCAATAAATTTTTGAAGAGAAATTATTATCAGCAATACATTTTTGAAGAGAAATTATTATCAGCAATAAATTTTTGAAGAGAAATTATTACAAGCAATACATTTTTGAAGAGAAATTATTACAAGCAATAAATTTTTGAAGATAAATTATTACCAGCAATACATTTTTGAAGAGGAATTATTACCAGCAATAAGTTTTTGAAGAGAAATTATTACCAGCAATACATTTTTGAAGAGACATTATTATCAGCAATACATTTTTGACGAGGAATTATTACCAGCAATAAATTTTTGAAGATAAATTATTACCAGCAATACATTTTTGAAGAGGAATTATTACCAGCAATAAGTTTTTGAAGAGAAATTATTACCAGCAATACATTTTTGAAGAGACATTATTATCAGCAATACATTTTTTGACGAGGAATTATTACCAGCAATAAATTTTTGAAGAGAAATTATTACCAGCAATACATTTTTGAAGAGGAATTATTACCAGCAATAAGTTTTTGAAGAGAAATTATTACCAGCAATACATTTTTGAAGAGACATTATTATCAGCAATACATTTTTGACGAGGACTTATTACCAGCAATAAATTTTTGAAGAGAAATTATTACCAGCAGTACATTTTTGAAGAGAAATTATTATCAGCAACAAATTTTTGAAAAAATATTAGCAGCAATAAACGTCTTGTCGGCATTAAATAACCTATTGTAGTTGGTATGCCCTAAAGCAAACCAAACTTTACAATTGAATTAAGCCAAATATTCATCTAAAGACACTATAACTCTAAAGTGAATTTGTGTCATGAAATTGGCACAAGTTCACAAGTGTTCAGCGAATATCGAATTCATATCAATAGTAATTGCTGCCAAACTAGCTTGCTATTCACTATCTCACTGCGAAGCGTTATAAACCAAGAGATGCCGACCATTTCAGGAGCCGACTTAAAACGAGAGAGATGTTATTCTGCCGACGAATGCTAAGAAAGACGTAGACTGAACATGTGAGGTATGAAAGAAGTTTAATAAAAATCAGTAGTCTGCATACGAATAGAAAATGAATTCAGTAGATATACAAATATAGAAAAGGTGTGTAAAACAATGTTGTGTCGTCTCACCGGATTTATTCTGTTAGGATTTTTTGGGTATATATGTGTATGTAACTAGTGAGCGAGTCAAAATGACTTAATTCCCTTTATAGTCTATAAATAGAAGGTGGACCAATCAGAAGCCGCACAACACTGTATCCGTCATGTATAAAGGCGGCCATCTTTGTTTTCCTACCGGAATGACCAAAGCCAACTTCTCAGGCGAACATGACAGACGGAAGAACTACGCTCTGCTACTTTGCTGCGATATCCACTGCGAACCTAAATTACGCTTTCCTACTGTCTACGAAATGTTCACTGCCAACCTCTGAATTCTATACTCGAGGACGACCGTCATGAAAATGTCTAACATATTCAACCTATACAGTGAGGCAATTTTGAGATAATTATTAGATCTACCAAGATAATTCATTGGCGGCCACAATTTTATGAACATAATATATGTGGATGGCATAATGTTGATAGCAGATATTGAAATGAAACTACAAGAACTTCTACATAAAATAATGAAAGAAAGCGGGAAAAAATGACTAAACATCAATTTCAAGAAGACAGAATGCATGCTTGTTAGCAAAAGGAACAACTGAACATGCAAATTACAAATTGGAAATGCCAAAATAAAATAAGTACAATAATTTAAATATATGGGAATTGTTTTAACAGAGGATGGAAAGTTCGACAATGAAATCCGAAGGCTCTTTGGGATGGCCAAATATCCATTCTAAAAGCTAAGTATTAAAAGACAGAAAGATTACATTGGATACAAAGAGAAGAGTATTCGATCGTTACGTAATATAAGTTCTCCCATGTGGCAGTCAATGGTGGACAATCTCCTCAAAGATAAAGAAAAGACTTGAAGCAACAAAAATGTGGTTCTACAGAGGTATGCAGAGGAAACAATGGACCCGAAATTGGAGCAACGACGAAGTTTGAAAGCAAACAAGAAGGAACAAGAGTACATAATGAGGAAAGAGGGTTTGGAAAATCTGACACTCACAGGGTAGATTGAAGGCAAGAGGGATAGAAGAAAATAACACAATTATATAGTGTGAGCGAGTAAATGGATGGCGGAACAAAGTTTAAGAGAGATAATAAAATAATTTATTAAACGCTACAAAGGACAGGGAATTTTGGCGAGCCCCGATCGTCTACTTCCTGAAGCAACGCGTCGCACAAAATAAGAAGATTACAAAGAAGGTTATACCTACAATTAGAAAGAGAAAGCTGATATTTTAGGGACATATATGAGAAAAGGAGTATTTAACATTTACTAGACATATTCAAAGGAGGGTAAACACTGGGAAAACAGTGGGTCTGTGCCAATGGATGATCGAATCAAATCAATGGTAGACAATAAGTAGTCAATTGTTACTAAGAGTTAAAAATGAGACTGGCCATTGTAATGTGCTAATGCCATTTACGTCTTAAAAAGACAGTTTGTTGTATTTTACAACGGAAATATATTTCAAAAGCATCAAAGAGAAAGCCACATAACTCGATGTCTTTGTTACACGCCTTATTTTTATATATGTATATCTTGTTTTACAATTTCACGAAACCCACTAACGCTGCAGGCGTATTAAACAGCGGCAATATACGAGGGCATTTCACGATACATTTTCTGTGCACCGTAAGAAAAAAATATTGTAGAACAAATCGACTTATAAAATATGAAATGGCGTATGTCACGTGAGATAAACAGCGGAAGTACATAATGGGTTGCTCGGAATGTTATATTTTTAATTATTTTTTTGTCCAGTAAAAAGAGAAAATTTGTAGCCACGAACTGTAAAAAAGAATGAGCATTTCTTTCTATCAATACTGGCTTTCGTCCTGAAGAAGACCGGTTCGCAGAACCGTATTCAATAACACAAAACAATAAAACGAATAGAAAGAACAGTCTGAAAAGCTGTTATGACGTTATTCAGTAGTTCGACACTAAATCAGTGGACGGTTGCCTTTGTGGGTAGATTAAAGTATAGGTATACAATCGTATTAGCTATAGAAGGAAGGAAGGAAGGAAGGAAGGAAGGAAGGAAGGAAGGAAGGAAGGAAGGAAGGAAGGAAGGAAGGAAGGAAGGAAGGAAGGAAGGAAGGAAGGAAGGAAGGAAAAGGGTGGATATAGAAGGAAGGAAGGAAGGAAGGAACAAAGAAAGGAAGGAACAGATAGAGAGGGGAAGGGATGTATTTAGAAGGAAGGAAGGAAGGAAGGAAGAGAGGGAGGGAGGCATTTAGATTGAAGGAAGTAAGGAAGGGAGAGAGAGAGGGAGGGAGGGATTTAGAAGGAAGGAAGGGAGGAAGGAAGAGTGGGAGAGGAAGGGAGGATTTAGAAGGAAGGAAGGAAGGAAGAGAGAGAGAGGGAGGGAGGGATTTAGAAGGTAGGAAGTAAGGAAGGAAGAGAAAGTGGGAAGGGATTTAGATTGGAGAGAGAGGGAGGGATTTAGAAGGAAGGAAGTAAGGAAGGAAGGGAGTGAGGGAGGGAGGGAGGGCACATATCTATCTAGGTCGGAAGATAGGTAGGGAAGCATTTAGAAGGAAGGGAATTAGGAGGAAGGAAGGGATTTAGATAGAAGGAAGGGAGGGAGGGAAGGAGGAAGAGGATTAGTTGTGGTGGGCAGAAAGACCGGCCATCAAATTACCAGATAAACATAGGTAGGTCGATAAGTTCAGTGCTACGGCACGGTTTTTGGGTCTGGCAATTCCTAACATAATTTCTCATGCTTTCTCTGGAGATTTATTTCATGTGTCATCCATACTTACAACGGCCTGGGCAACACGTGTGTTTTTCTTTCAAAATACCTCCCCCCCCTTGTACCCCACCTCCAACAAATACATATCTACTTACACCAAACATTCTCCATACCATATCGCCCCCAACCCCCCACTTTTTTTTTTACCTATCCCTCCAACTACGAGTGAAGCTGCATTACAAAAGTTTTATGTCTGGAGTTGAGTTCGGCCGACACAGAGGCACAAGTATAGCATCATTGATCGAACGGGACTTATTGATAGTGATGTAATCAATGATCACCCTCCCGTCTTAGACAGTCTTTATGAAGACAACAGGCTCTTTGCTTTCTTCTTTACGAGCTCCAGTTGCTCTCTCTCTCTCTCTCTCTCTCTCTCTCTCCATTTTTCTTTTTAATTAATTTTTTCTTTTCATTTTTCTTTTCCCGCGTTAATTCTTTCTTTCCATTTTTCTTTTCCCGCGTTAATTCTTTCTTTTCATTTTTCTTTTCCTCCTCAATTCTTTATTTCCACTTTTCCCCTCGTTAATACTTTCTCCTTTCTTTCTCGTTAATTCTATTATCTAGATTTGACTTCTTTACATATTTCGACCTCCCCTTTTCCTACCTACGTCATCGTCGGCTTTTTGTCTTTGCAATTTGTTCACGAGGTACTGCTTCAATACAACGAGTTTCCTCCATTTCCGTCTCTATTTCTCTCTCTCTCTCTGTTTTTCACTCTCTCATTTTCGCTCTCTCTCTCTCTCTCTCTCTCTCTCTCTCTCTCTCTCTTTTCTCTCTCTCTCTCTCTCTCTCTCTGGGTCTGACTCACATTTCACCTCTCCCCTTCTCTCGCACTCAAATTTTTTCTCTTCCTTTCACAATTTCTCTCATTTTATCTCTCCCTGTTTTGTCTTCTCTCTCCTTATTTTCTCTTTCACATCTTCCCTAATATTCTCTCTCTGTCTTACATTCCTTGTTCCCCCGTGTTTTGAATGCTCTCTCTCTATATATATATATCTCTCTCTCTCATTTTGTATTCATTTTTTTTTCATCTGCTCTCTTTTCCTCCATCGCTGTCTTTTACTTCTTTACAAATATTTACAAACTGGACGCTGTCAGAGTCCACACAACACTCAGGGACAAATTAAGCTCAAAACGATCATCGAAAACCCATCTGCTATGCACCGCTACGAGAAAAGCGTAGAAAATATTCACTGTGTACAAAATCTGCCAGCTTTTTTAAAAATAATATCATGAAATATGAGGTCAATCTTTGACTTTCAAAAACGTTGTTTTCTGGGGGAATTTTAATATATCTCGTGCATGGTTACAATTCTTAGTCAAAGACGGCATAGCAAAATAACACGCGAATTCCTGACGGAAAAAAATGTCCACTTACTGAGATAATGCCCGAATCAGGCAAACTGGCTATGCTGCCTATGCTGGCTATGCATATATATATATATATATATATATATATATATATATATATATATAGAGAGAGGGAGCCAGACAAACTTACCTAGTTTCACCTAAACGGATCGTCAGGAAAGTTAGCCACTTTCCCTGACGATCCGTTTAGGTGAAACCTGCAAGGTTTGTCTGGCTCACTAGGTATATCTAGGTCTGCTCTACGGTTGTATTGAGGTCTTTTGTTAGTTAGTTGTTTACTCGTGTCGGGGTTTTTTTCTTTGGGCTTTAAACCTGTATCTGTGCGATTTTTTTCGACAAACTTTCATGTTTCTAGCTCTTTCTTTTTTAAAACCTTTTTTCCTTTCGAGATTGATTTGATTATTGGCAAATAAAAAATTCGAAGGTTTTCGAAACGAATATAGTTATCTATATATATATATATATATATATATATATATATATATATATATATATATATATATATATATATATATATATATATATATATATATATATTTAGCACTTTATCCCCATAAATATAGCACACATTAAAACTATATTTTTCTTCATATATATATATATATATATATATATATATATATATATAAACATACACACATATATATATACATACTACATTATATATATAAGTATATATATATATATACATATATATATATATATATTTAGCAATTTTATCCCATAAATATAGCACATTAAAACTATATTTCTTCATATATATATATATATATATATATATATAAAACATACACATATATATATATACATACATACATTATATATATACGTATATATATATATATATATATATTTAGCACTTTATCCCATAAATATAGCACACATTAAAACTATATTTCTTCATGTGTATATATATATATATATATATATATATAAACATACACATATATATACATATATATACATACATACATTATATATATATATATATATATATATAGCCCTTTATCCCATAAATATAGCACACATTTAAACTATATTTCTTCATTCATTCATGTTTCATTAAATGATATAGACAAGTGTTGTCTATTTTATGTAAATTCTTTTCATAAGCTTAATAACATTATCATTAAACGAAGAAAGAAATCACAATATTGATACATATTTTTTAATCCAATCTAAGCTTTCGGCTTACATAAGTCATTATCAAGGATGACAATTATAGTACAATATATTATGTAATATACGGACAAGAAAGTGATGATAGTCTGTTTCTGTTTACATGGATGATTTCCAAGCAACGATAAACACGTCCATATAAACATGTAAACAGACTATCATCATTAGAAAATGTCCGTAAACTACATGAAAACTACCGTAGAAGCATGAAAAAATCGATTATTTCCACTATCGATGGGAGTTGGGAAATGCAATGTCGGTCTTGGCCTTCCCGCTAACTTGGAGCATGTGCATGTAAATTTTGGTGCAAATCTGTCGACAATTGCCGCCGTGCTTTCGTTACACACACACACACACACACACACACACACACACACACACACACACACACACACACACACACACTCACATCCTGCCTTTTATAAAGAGAGATATGCGGTGGCATGGAGAGGTGTTTGTGAGCTTAGGTTTCCCGCTTTCGTGATCTTCAGACAAAGTAGATCTATTTATGCTTTATTTGTGTTTCTTTATTTCTATTTGATGGGAGCGGGAAATTTTCTTGTTGCCTATTTGTTTTGGGTGTCGTTCACGTAGAGATAGTCACACATGTATGAATTAATATGTATACGTCTGTATGCATGTGTGTCTACCTATATGTGATCGGCATTACAAACAAACACAAAACAAGAAACCCCCCTCCTGTCACACACAAATAAACAAACACAAATCGGTTTACTTTTGAAAAAAATAAACCAGTCTGTCTGACGATCGCGAAAGCGTGAAACGTAAGGTCACAAACATCTCTTCATACAACCACATATGTTAGCTCTATGACGGATATTGAGCACTTTCAACTAAATACTGCACATATAGACATATATATATATATATATATATATCATACTTATTATAAAACCCAGGTTGTGTGTTTGTGTGTGTGTGTCTGTACGCTTATATATTGGATGTGATTTCCTACATTTTTCAAGCGATTTCAACAAAACTTCACATGACTACGTAAAATTACCTTGCGGTGGTTTTGACAGTGCCAAAAATTGGAAAAACACAATTGTTTTTGCACGAAATCAATTTGAAAACACGATTAAGAGGTATCGCAAGAATGAAAGGTGGACAACTCATATCGACTTATACTTATTATAAAACCCAGGTTGTTTGTGTGTGTTCGTTTATATATGGGATCGGATTTCCTACATTTTTCTACCGATTTCAACAAAACTTCACTTTTTTTTGGCAGGTAGTATTTCTTATTGTCTTGCACACTTTTTTCTTTATTTTTACATTCAGAATGCTTTAAAAATTCCATTTACAAGAAAATTGTTTATAATAAAATCTATTCAATCGATAGACTCATAACGATTGAAAACAATGTTTTTATTTGAGTTTGGGTTTGACCAATTCGTAAAAAAAAAAAAAAAAAAAATAATTAAGACATGCATGTCCGTCAATCTTAAACAATAATCTTTTGTCAAATTTATTTTTCAGTCTTTATGATGGTGGATACTTGATCTATCTTTATTGTTACATCCCCGGCAACGCTGGGCTCTCCTGCTAGTATATATATATATATATATATATATATATATATATATATATATATATATATATATATATATCTGTGTATGTGTGTGTACATATAGATAAATATAGGTAGCATATTTTCATTCAAGCATCTTTTGGTTAAATGATTTATACGTATTATGTCAATCTGAATTTTAATCCTTTCAAGTATACAAATTAATTTCTTGGGAAGCTGTAGAAAATTGATTAAGAAAAAATTTTTTTCAGATAATTTTATTTTCCCAATTATTTTCAATCTCATCTGAGACCATCTTCAAGAGTAGCATATCTACGAATGTGTTATGCGTTAACACCGTAAATTCAAAATATTTTTCCCCTATGTAAAAGAGGTAATGTATGTGCTTTTTTGTCAATATGTTTTAATTATAGTATTTTAATTTAGTGTATTTAAATAAGACTTTGCTGCTACAAACATTTAAGTACTTTGTTGCTATCCTCATAATTAACTTTATTTATTTTTGACCGCAATTTTCTCATATAAATGGCTTCCAGAATGTCATGTTTTTGCTTATTGTTATTTTGACGAAGCACTGATGTATCTTCGACTAATATCTGTCTCAACTGTGAACGTGTACGCATTCCTTTAAATGTCCTGAGATTGAACTATGATCGTTCAATTGAAAGGTAAGCCTTCTCGTTATCGTCGTTGTTGTAAATCCAACATACGTATTAACATTTTTAACAGAGATGCAATCTCCCAAAGGACATTTAAATTGATATGCGATGTTGGTGTTTTGTAAGACGCTAGTTGAGGGAGAAGACCTGTTATGGATGACTAAATTGGTTGTATTAAATTTAGTATAGTATATAATTAATTTTATTTTTTACTTGGATCAGTGGGGGATATATTAGTGACTAGCAGTAGAGCCCAGCGTTGCCCGGGGATGTAACAGTAAGCGATAGATCAAGTATGGACGATCATAAAGACTGAAAAATAAAATTGACAAAGATTATTGTTTAAGGTTGACGGACACGCATGTCTTAATTAGTTTTTTTTTTTTCTACGAATTGGTCAAACCCAAATTCAAACGAAAACATTGTTTACAATCGTTATGATTTATGGAAATAATACAGTAATTCCATCTACGTTTTACGCGCGCGCGAGTTTTCCTCCCTTCCTTCCACACTTGTGCGTGTGTGCGCGTCCACTGATTACACCCTCCCTTTCTCGTTAAGCTAAATATAGTAGTAAAACTTTTTCTTTAGTTATTTAAAACTAATTACAAGTTATTGTCGTTTTATCAGCTCCTGCTGATGTCACAAATCTAACAAATTTAAATTACCGTTTTTCCCGCGTTTTTCTCTGACGTCACGGACAAACTAATCGTTTGAGTTCAGTCGGACCAAAATTTCGATCCATGAAGTTGACTCATTTATTCTTCGTCAGTCAACCTTAAATACAGACAGGGATATCTTACTGACAACAAATAATTCTTCATCCCTTTTGGCTCAAATGTAAATAATTTTCTTCAAGACGATGCAACCAACAACAAATAAGTCTTCGTCCCTTTTGGTTTCGTCGTAAATAATTTTAGCAGCAAATTCAATGCCTGATCCCAAAATCTGAGATGACTGAACTTTTCACGACTGTGAACCTGAAACAAAAAAAGGTATAAAAACAAAAACAACACAAAAACACTACACACACTTACAATAC